GGTCCATGCTGGAGCTGGAGAATCTATGCTGAAAGCCAGCAGATGACATCCAAAGTGAAAGCGAAGACTGGAGCTTCCCCAGAGGAAACAGAAATGATTTTCCTTCATTTCCCCGATACGGCATTCTGGGGACAGTCCTCCTTAGAGTGGGTCTTCATGCCCAGAACTTTGCTGAGCCAATTTAGTAGGCTTACTTACTTACTCAAGTTGATACAATCAATCTACCATCACAATAAGTTAATCTGGGTTGAAAGATATTTGCTCTTAGGGCTTGAATACTTCACTGCAAGCTCTTCTAGCCTTTGAGATTGTGTTGAGAATTTTGCTTTAATTCTAATTGGTCTACTTTTATATGTGATGATTTGTTTTCCTCTGGCTGCTTTTAAAAATATTTTTTTCCTTTTTTCCCTGACAGCTTAATAGGGATGTGCTTTGATGAGCTTCTTTATTCATTGTATTGTTTGGTATTCTAGAAGTGTTGCTCTCTTGTGCATTTTAAACTCATATTTGCAACATTTACTTCAGTGATTTCTGTAAGCATGTGAATCCATTGTGCTATCTTCTAGTTTTTCTCTAATTGCGATTAGCCTTAGATTGATCTTATTATCATCTAGTAGCTGATAAATAATCTTCGCTTGTTCTCTTATTTTCTTTTTAACTTCTTTGAGCTCTTTTTTGTAACTTACTGTTTGGTCCTCAATGCCAGACATTCAGCCTTCACAATGGTTATTTCTGCAGTGTATGAAATCTACACAGTTTTTCATTTCAAGTATTTCTGTCTGACATCTTTTTGAGCAATCCATATCCTTTTCGAATCTGTCATTCATATTTTTAAATGCTTGGTTAGCTCATCTAGTTTTTACCTATTTACCCAAATTCTCCACGGGCATATTGGGTGAAATTACTGTGAATTTTTGGTTTATGTCTTCTTTGAACTCATCTATTTTCTTCATCACTTGTATAACTTCATAGATTTCTGCTCCTTGGTATTTGTTTTCTTCTTCCTTTGTGACTCCTTGCTCTTCCTTGGCAGAGCTGGTGTGGAAGAGGTTGGAGATCTTTTATTTCCTTGCTTCCCCATTATCCTATGTGTACCTGTGTGTGTGTGTGTGTGTGTGTGTGTGTGTGTGTGTGTGCCCTCTTCTAACCCCCCTTTTTGGTGGAGAGTTTACTACAGGTTGGGAAATAGAGAAATGAGGAGAGTTTGTGGCTTATTTGGAAATTTTTAGTAGGATGTTTCCTCCTTATGAATAATTTTCAACGTTCTATATCCAGTGCTAGTATTTACTCTTTTTATTTACTTTAAGTGATTTTGATTCCATTCTTATGTTTGGCCAAAAGAATTGCTTCTGTTTGTAACAGTACACAGATTCACTCTTACAACACTATGATAGTCCTTGTGGTTATGCTTCCTTCTTCCCTGAGTCTATTTTTTATGCACACTATGACAATTTTTAGTAACAAACTATAGAAGTGATTCCTGAAAATAGAGTCTTTCAAAAATCAGCTTTATCCAGGCATGGTGGCATACATCTATAATCTCAGCACTCAAGAGACTGAGGCAGGAGGATTGCTGCAAGTTCAAGGCCAGCCTCAACTCCACAGTGAAACTGTCTAACTTTTAGGTGCTTGCGTGTGTGGTAGAGCACTTGGCTACTGGATGTGAGGCCTTCGGTTTAATCTCCATAACAGCTAAAAAAAAGAAGTGAGTTTTACAATGATACAGTAATACTACATGTTTATGTCAGCATCTTTAGAAAAATAGAGAGAAATTAAAATAGCTCTATTATAGGCCAACATTTCTCTGCTTTTCTATTTTGTCTTTTGTCAATTTAATTTAAAAACTTTATCATGCTTTAATGTTTGTCAAAAATATTTTAAATATTAAATAAGAATGAATAGTTCTATTATTTAATGTTTAAAATACAGCATTTAATTAAATAGCCCATCAAAATGATAAAAATTGAAATAAAAATTTGAACGAGACTGAAACAGGAAGCGGTTGTAGGCTTAGCTAAGAAGGGATCTATTCTCTCTAGATTCTTTTTGTACGCTTTACTTTTTTTCAGTGTGCATATATTGCTTCTTATAAAACATACCAATGTCCACTGAAAGCATGTCTGACATTTTGTAGCTTATACTCAGAAAGTACATGTAACTAAGGCTCTACCCCCCCTTGCTATCTTGGAGAAGCAAGTCGAGACTTTCCTGCTCCTCCTTCTCAGCTCCTCAGTAGGGAACTTCAATGCCTTTCCTAGCAGTAAAGTCAGAGGACCACACAGCAGAAGCAAGAGCTAGCTGAGCATCCTAGCTGTGCAAAGCCTTCTAAGCTGTGTGAGACCTGTGAGCCATCACCACACACTGGGGTGGTGGCGGGAAAGTGCGGGGGTCTCCTGGGAGAGGACTGCCTTTAAATGCTCCCCTCACCTGAGAAGTCTTTTGACTTAAGGCCAGGAGATGGGCCCCCACCTTCAGCTTCCCCTACACCCAGGTGGCTGCAGCCTGCCCTTCCAAACAGCTCAGCCGCAGCCTTCTAAAGCTCCAAGGCATTAACTGGTGGTGGAGGAGAGGGCTGGGCAGGGCCTGGGAGCCACAGGTCATGATGGAGAGAGAAAGCTTCTTGTTTCCCTTTAAGTGCTTTACTTTCTCATGTTTTATAGAAATTGATTTTCTAATAATATAGCAGCAGCTGCATTTGTGACCAGAAGCAAAGAACACAACCCAGATTGGAAAATGAAATCAATCTCAGGTAAACAGTTCAGCAAACAGCAGCTATCTTCATTTGTGCTTCCATTACAAAGTACCAAAGACCAGTGGTTCATGAAAACAGAAGTTTGTTGCTCACAGTTGTGAATGCTGGGAGTCTGAGATCAGGGTGCCAGCATGCTATGTTCTGGGCAGGGTCCTCTTGCAGGTTGCACACTGAAATCTTTCCATGGAGGGCAAGAAGGTTCTCTGGAATTTCTTTTATGAGGGACACCAATATCATTCATGAGGGCTTTACTCTTGTGACCTAATCACCTCTCAAAGAACCCACACCAATGTCATCACATTAAGGGTTAGACTTTCAATGTATGAACTTTGGAAGATACAAACATTCAGTCCATAAATGAAGCCCCTCATTGTGCAAGGCCTGGGCTTGACGTTGTGGATAATGATTTAAGAACCACCCTGTTCTCAGGGATTCGGAAGGGAGATCAGGTTATGGCAACAAAGCTGTGTGAGCAGAGACTGGTCCTGGAAAGGAATCCTGCCCAGACTTAAGGCTAGGAAAATCTTCCTGGAAGAAGCATCTACAACACAGAGATTTAAAGAGTGAGTGGACACAGCCAGGACACAGCAGAGGGAAGCGTTCCAGCTAATGACGTAGAATGAAGGAGGTGCCCCGGAAAAGAGATGCATACCAACCCCTAGCCTTAGGAAAATCAGTAAATGTTCCAGCCTCTCCCCGCTGACTTGTGAGAGAATGGGGCAGTCCTAGGCCTGTGCTTGGAATGACCCCTTTGAGGCCATGGGTTATACTGGAGAGATCTCTGAGGAGAGGGGCTTCTCGGACATGGAGGATGTGGGGCCGGGCTTTCAGCTGGCTCTGCTCATGTTGAGCTTTTCGCTCCCCTGTCGACCTGCAAGACACAGGGGCTACTTTGTCAGGGGAAAAGGAGGGCTAGGTTACAGCTTTGGGGCAGTTTGACTGATCAGATTCTTTAATCTCCAGGTGGTGGGCTGAGGCTGTCACAAAGAGTGTCAATGATAGGTTATTGAGGTTGGAAATTTCACGTACATGGCTGTGGAAGGTACACCTCTCCAGGGGTGGGTTCTGAGGAGCTGGGAGGAGCACAAGGCCACCAGAACCTTCACCAAGTGGGGCTCAGAATGAAAACAGGCCAGACTATCAATGGCAGAGTTGAGCATGAGTTTGCCTGGGACAGACTAAACTACAAGAACAACAGTAATAGTAGTAATGATAAGTAATGCTTATTGGTTGTTTATGTGCTAGAACTTATGTTAAGCACTTCACATATAGGAAATCAGAAGACTGTGGGAATAGAAGAGTCCATTATTAGATGTTTTGATTTCACCGGGATACTGAGGCACAGAAGGCTCAAGTAATTTACCTAACATGCATTATTCAGCAGGAGGGCTATGATTTGAGCTTATGTTTATCCGGCACTATCCTACCTCTCAGTGACCATGGAAGGCAATGCTGACGGTATTAACCTGCCCAGTATTTATGCTCCAGCTCCTATTCAGGCCAGGCATTGTTCAGGGTTCTGCAGACTTGGTGATGAGTGAGACCAATAAAGTCTCTGCTTCTTCAGGGCTTGTATTCTAGTAGGACACAGATGAGAAGATAAACAGATATAATCTCAGGAGCGGCAATGCTGTGAAAGAAGACATAGGGAAAGTGACAAAAAATGACAGGACAAGGAGCTCAGCAAGTACGTGGCTGTGCGAGCAGTTGGGGTGCCAAGGTGGGCAGAGCCCAGCCCTCATCATTTGCCAAAAAGCAGCAACCTGGAGCTTCTTGTGTCTGGGAAGACGCTGTGAAGTCAGCCACATTGAACCAATTTCATCCAGACTGTTTTTGTTTCTCGGAGACTAAGGAGCCAAAGTTGTGGCAGTCCTGGACACTAATGCTTAAAAAATAGAAGAGTGTTTTAAAATACCATTTTGCCATTTGTTCAGTGAAGTCAGATTTTTAGTTTGGCTCTTTATTATGTATGCATTTTAACATTAAATGTGCTACGACTAATACTTGAAAAGATCCCTAACAATCAAAGGCTCATAACATTTAAAGTACCAGATTTCCTGGGCTGATAGTCCTAGAGCTACTGCTTTTATTGAAGTGTTTACCCTTCTGGAATGGGCTGCAAATGGCAAAGGAAATTTCACAATTGTAATGCAATTCAAAGTAAATAGCAGAGAAAGGTCAGTGTCTTTGCATGGACCTCCCTTTTCAAAATAAACAAGGGGAGCAAAAGCACTTTGAAGTTCTAAGGCAGCCACCTCACTGGTTCTTGGCCTGGCTCATTCCGTTGTGTTGTGTCCCCTGGTCCCCGCCTGCAGTCCCAGGAGCTTGGAAATTCACAAGGCAGGATTCTGACAAAACTGCTCAACAGTTGAGTCACCTGAAAAATGGCAGGAAACAAGGACAGCTCGGCTTCCAGGCGTCACAAACACCTCTGTGCCTGTGACAGTCTGTACCAGGTAGGCAAGGGGTCAGGGTACAGAGGCCTGAGGCCAGGTACATACTGGGCTGTGGCCTCTTTTCACAGAGGCCTATCACAGCTGTTACTTTCTGCTCCTCCACTCTCATCTGGTCTCTTAACCCCTTCCCCTCCTCTTTGTCTATTTCTGCTCATCACCTGATATGGGGGGAGGAGAGACAGCCATCCAGGTAGAGCAGGGAGACTTGGAGAGAACAGATCTGACCACAGGAATGGGAAGAGGAAGGGTAAGACAAGGGACAGCAGATGTCAACAAAACATGAAGATGCTGCCTGTGTTGGCTGCTGGGAGTCCTATTTGGCGGGATGGTGGTATTCAATCAGGTGACGTGCAAATGCCCGGGCTGGAACACTGTCTCACTTTCTTCAAGATGACTTGTGTGCCACCATCCTGGCTCCATGAAAGCTACTGTTTCTTGTGGTGTCCCTCCCAGGCCACAACTTTTATGACCTCACCCTGACACATCCTATCTGGCATTTCCGCAGCTTAGCTGTGGAGACTTGGGCTCCACTGCTCCCTTGAGTCCCCTTCAACATCAGAGACCCGGCATCTCTGGGTAGATCTGGATATTTGGGCACCTCAGACGCTGAGCAGTGCAGTTGGACCATAAAGCCAGTTGGGTACTGGTTTGTTTCTCATCCAAGCTGGAGTCTAGATCTGTGCTTCCAAGAATTCGAAACTGTAGGGTTAGCCATTTTTCTTTCTAATCCCACCTGCTTGGTGCAAAGGTGAGCTAAACAATCTCGTATACGAACCCCCAGTGTGTCCTCCAAACCACTTCCCAGATGCAGCTTTGCTTTACCTCCTGACTTCTCCTTTGTACCGAGTAGAAGGCCGGGTCACTTTGACTATCCAAAGAGAGGTTGGAACCAGTTTCTAAGGTTCTAAAGTTTTTGAGCGTCACAGTTTGTGGTTGGAAAAGGAACATGGAAAATAAATTTTGGGAGTCAGAAACAATGAATCCTGAGCATTCCAAAGGTATCCGTCATCACCCGTCCCCACAGCAGGACAGTGTGTGAGGACCGGATGGCTGCCTTGGGGACGCTTCCTTCACTCGGGTTGGGCGGTGCTTTCTGGCCTCCCCCACACAATAATCCCCTGACTGTGATTTTATGTTACTCACATTCCGCACCCTTCACGACTCCTAGCCTGCTTTAAAGAAGCCCAAGGGTGGGAAAATGTCCGAGTGCCATCAGGAGAGTCACATTTGTGACTCAGGAGTGGGGAACATGGCAACACAGATCTTATTTGGAGAACAGGCCACTTCTTAGAAGACAAAGCTACAGTATCCTTTGGTTGCTCTGCATTCTACTGATCATAGAGTCTCACTATTCTCCACCTTGGCGCATCTCTAGAGAACTATACTCCAAAGAATGTTTTATTTAGTGGCTGAAAGACAAGGAACTGAAGCCTGTGTCTGTCAGAGAGTAAGTCCAGCGCACGATGAATTCAGCAGCTGATGAAGACAAGTTGCCACCAGGGCTGGCATAATTCTGGCTTCTCATGAATTATTCTGCCACACTGAAGTCCTTCTGGCAGCTGGGTCACATAATCCATGCCCTTCTGCGCCTTGAAGGAAGCTGTGACACGTCAACAAGAGACCTATGTGACAAGAGCTTTCGGTAAACTGTGAATGATGCTCTGAGAATCTTACACTCATGGGAGCATTCGGAGCATAGTTTCTTACAGTCTAGCACTCACAGCATCAACCCCCTGGGTCAGCAAGAGTCTCCTCTTGCTGGAAGATGTGTGTAATTAGTGGGGGAAAGCCTCTGGGGAGGTACTGGTGTTTCAGACACAGCCGTATGTGAAGAAAAAGACACATAACCAGGGAGGTGGCTCTGATGCATGGTTGAGGCATTTTCAGTGTCATGGTTAGAAATCAATCTGGGGTTTCTCTGCCAGTCATGGTGGGTTTCTAGCTGTGCAAAGGTGGCTCAATGACACTGAGGACTCCACCGATGTACAGATCTGATTCATCCAGTGTCACCCCACAGTGATGATGAATTAGTTAGATTTCAGGCAGAGAGCAGCAAACCAGTGTGAACAGGAGGCAAGTCTACCAGATGCTTTAGGAAACTTTCACTGTTGTGCTCCTCCTTCTCTTTAACTCCTTTCCCACACGCAGCAGCAAAACAGCTAGAAAGCCACAGGCTCCAAGCAATCCTTGGAGAGCGGAGGTGGTCCTGAGGGAGAGCTGGGTTTTCACAGAGCTGCGGTAGCGTGGGGAGCAGACACACATACCCACCATGGGGCATTTCAGCCCAGGAGCCAGAGATGTGGTCAATATCATGAGAGCTGAAAGGGGAGCTGGAAATATCAGATATCAGCTCTCAGTGTGTGACCACTGGGCGGCCATTCTGGCCACTGGCCACTGGCCAGAGACATTGGATACTTGATTTACTTGTGAGAGGTAGAATTTGGGATATGAAGGCATAAAGGAATTGCCTTTTTAGCCAAAAAAGTTGCAAAACCCTTATATCAGTCAGGAACAGTTGCAAGAAAAGCATGTCTCTGGCTGACGAAGCAGACTTTACTAACAAGCCTTTGGGCAGTCTGAATTATTTGAGAGGCCGAGACAGATGGATCTCAATTTGAAGGCTTCTTGGACAACATAGTGTGGGACCTTGTTGAAAGAAAGAAGGAGATAAGGAAGAAGAGAGAGAAAGAAAGAGAGAGAGAAAGTAAGGGAAAGAAAAAACGAAAGAAAGAAGACAGAAAGAGAAAAGGCTGGAGAGTAGCTCAGACAGTAGCTTAGCGCTTGCCTGGCATGCGTGAAGCCCTGGATCCAGTCCCCAGTACCTTCCCTGTCCCCACAGGCTCACAGCGTCCCAGGAGCCCTGAGCAGCGGGATTGCAAGTCACAGTCAGGCGGGCACCCCAACTGCTGCCGTGGGGCCCACCTGGTGAAGACACCATGCACATTGCTCTGCTGTGGGCCCTCATGACACCACACAGGGCACCAACTGCTGACTGGAAGCAGGGCCTGTCAGGAAACAACATCCTGTTACACAGCCGTGACTGCCTGTCTTTGGAATCCTGCTTCCTGCCCAGGGAGCCTGCTGCTTGTTGAGCGGGGCAAAGCCAGGCCACAGCCCTCACTTCTCCCGGGGGCTGGAGAAGCCAGTGTGAGATGTCCGGGAACTTTTTAGTGACAAGTGACTTCACAAAAGGTGGGTAATGGGAGTACAAGTGTAGAATGACATATAGGCCCTTGGTGAGCAAATGGAGGACAGTTGTCCCTCATAAGTCCTGAGCTTCTGACTCTGCTCCCCTGGATGTGACCTGTCTTTGTGGTGCTGATTCTCAGATATTTTCCACTTAAGATCCATCATCTGTTCTTGAACCCCAGAACTTCTGTATAAAAATATTAACCAGGAAACAATTCCTGCTATTTCATTTTGTTTTTCCAGATTTATTGAGGTATTATTGTATATACTGAGTTTTATGTAACATATACAATTGAACACATGGAATAAAAATATATATATTAAATATATAGAGTGATGTAATTTGATATATGCATACATTGTGCCATAATTGCAATCAAATTAGTTACCAAATCCAGCATTCACTTAAATACCACTTGTGTGTGTATGTGTGTGAACACCCTTAGGATCTGCTCTTTTAGCAAATTTCAAATAAATAATACAGCATTATCAAATGCAGTCACCAGGCTGTATGTTAGGATCTAATCCTCCTGTTAGTATAACGTTCTTGTTAAAATGGAAAAAATTATAACAGCCCCACTTATTAGTTCCTCAGCTGTAATACCCAGTATTTTCCTCACAAGATTTCGGGGAGGGCCTGTGACACACCCGATGTGATGACTTGGTTTCTGGTTCAGAATGGTGCCTGGAGCACAGTTGTGTGTTTCACCCACTTAGAATCCCATCAAAATCACAGAAAAGCTGTTAAAGTAGTGAATTCCTAACTGTGCTGGGAGAAAAGGTGCCGTCATCAGAACTAACCGTGAGGAAGTCCCTGGAATACGGCAGTAGACGGTCTGGAGGGGTGTGGAAAGTTTCGTTTTCTTTTCCAAGTTGCGTACAGTGAGAGCTATTTATATCCGTGCTTCTCGGCCTCGTGCTGACTCTGAGAACCACTGCTTCTGGCTTCTTTCCCTCCGATTTCATTGGGACTGGTTTTGCTAAGCTGCCCCACGCCCTCCATCTCCCTGAATTTAGTTCTATCTCTGTGTGCATCTCAGCAGCACTTGCCACGGTTAGCCATTTCTCGAAACACTGTCATTTCTTTCTTTCCGTGGCTCCTTCCCCTCTGGTGGCTCCTGTGCTGCCTTCTTGCCCGGCTTCTCTTCCTCTGCCTAATCCTTGAACATTACCGTTCCTGTTCTCAGGACCCTTCCCTGCATAGCAGGCATTCTCAGCCATTCTCACGAGCTCCAACATCTGTGGCCTGATGTTTTCTCTATTTCTGTCTTCAGTGCAGTTCTCTCCTTAAGATCCAGACTTCTATACTCAATTGCATTCAAAGGAAAAAAGAAAAAAAAACCTCTACACTTACAGAATACATAAAACGTACAGAAAGGTTTCAAATATGAAAATAGCATATGCAAATACCTGTATACCCTGTATTCAGATTTGCCTAATACTAACATTTTGCTCTGTTTGGCTCTCTCTTTCTCTGTCTCCCTCTCCCTTGCTCCTCTCTGACCCTCTTCCCTCCCTCAGGCTCCCTCTCTCTCCCTCTCAGTCTCTTGTGCATGTATGCATCACTTACGTGTTCCAGTCATCTTCCTGTTCTAGGACAAAATACCTGACACTTGCAACTGAAAGGCTCACAATTTTGGCTCACAGTTCCAGAGGTTTCAGCCCATGGCCAGCTGTCTCCAACACGGGGACGTGATAGAAGGGTATGGCAAAAGACAGCTGGTTAACTGTGACATTCAGGAAATAAAGGGGAGACAGCTCAGAGAGGAAGGGGTTGGGGGCAGTATAACCCCCCAAGTCATGTCCTCATGACCCATATAGGCACCCAGAAGTGTGCTTTACTAATCTTCTAGGCTTCTCTTAAGCCAATCAAGATTAAGTATAACTTCGAGCCGGGTATAGTGGTGCACACCTGTAATCACAGCACTTGGGAGGCTGAGGCAGGAGGATCACGGCGAGTTCGAGGCCAGCCTGAAGTACATCATGAGACCCCTCCCCTTCTGCCTCTCTCACTGCATTGCAGCTACTCTCCTGGCTTACTTTGCCCCGGTCACACCACCTGAAGCTGGCAAAATAAACCCTTTTCAATACCAAGTCCTGGCTCCTCCTGCTCCCTGGAATGTTCTCATCCTTTCCTCTTCTTCCCAACCCTCCCTCATCTCTCCTCTCCCTTCCCGTATCCTGGCTCCTTCTTATGTTCTGCATATCGGCTCTCATATCCTCTCTTCCAAGAGGCCTGATCTGATCACTGAGTTCTAGAAATGGTTGTCATCTCGGGAAGGGCACCAACATTGGGGTTCTGAAAAGGAGAGAAAGAGGGGCGATGGGATGTTGGGCAAAAGAAGAAGAAGAAAAATGATTAAGATGCAGTATGCAGATGTACCAGGCCCCCAAGATAAATATAATTATTATGCATCACAAATGCATAATAATTATGCACAAATGCACAGTAGTAGAAAGAAATGAAAAAATATTTAAGAAGTTGGTGGAAGTTGAGAATGGAATGAAGGGTATGAAAAAAAAATGTAACTATTATGAAACATCTCCCCTATATGAGTGGGGAAAAGTTTAGTAACCCAAGTCACCTTAAACAATGGAATCTTTTGTAAAGTAAGAATACAAATGTTTTACATATATAGCAAATAAAAACAGAGAAATAGAAAAGAACCTGTGATGACCTCAGATTTCTGCAAGGAGTACAAGGGGGTGCCATCCCCGGAGCTGAGTGGATGTGAGCGGCTCCCCATGGGGTCCCGGGCTGCAGAGGCTGGGCTGTATCCCAGCTCCTGCACAGCCTGGCTGGCTGACAGGGCACGGGCACAGGCTCAGGGGGAAAACCGCTATTCACTCTAAATCCTCATTTGTCGTATGCACAGAGCAGAGCGTGTCACATTATCTGAGGAAAGCAATGGTATGAACATACCCACACTCTCCCAAGTAGGATAACTCACCTCAGAGGAAACAGGCTTAGTATCTAAGACAATGAAAAGTACACCTTGAAATGAATATGAGAGAACGCAGTTGATGGCTGGAAGAGAGGAGCCCTCTGAACTAAATATGGTTACTATTCCCAGATGTAGGCAGTTAACTTATCCTTAAAAACGAAATCATCTCTAGAAAAGAGAAATGAATTAAAATTTTCTGGACTTCAATTTCACCAAGAACAACCCCAATTAATGAACCACAGAGTAGAATGGACAGAGCTGAAGACTAAATTAGTGAGCTAGAGACATGGTTTTCAAATTTTGTTGTGTGTAAGAATCATTAGATTAAAAAGTTCTCACTCCCTCATTTGCACAGGTACTGACTACACACTTCCTGGAAGTGGGTCTCCACAGGTAATTCCCAAAAGCAGCTGAGTTAGAGCAAAGGAGATTTCTGAGGAGATGCAAAAGAAAAAGGAAAGAAAATTTGAAAAATATGGGTGAGAGACCAGCTCGACCTGTTTTGATCTAGAACTTTCCATATTCATGGGTGATCCAGGGAGGTAATGGAGAGGAGGAAAGTGAAGAAATAGCAGACGATATATTCATGGATAAAGACTCAATCTATAACTTGATATTTTGTTATGCAATGACTAAAACGGATCCTCAGCTTCTTACATGAAAGTGAATGTATAGAAACGTTTAAAGTCAAAGGGATGCTAGTTCCCAGTTTCCAGATGACAGAGTATAGGTGGCATGTGCCACCCTCCTTCTCAATATTCAGCCTCAGATAACAAGGAGAATAAGACACAGAAATGTGAACTTCATCTTTGATTCAGTTAGGCACCGTGTGAGACCCAGAGCCATGATGATGGGGAAGGGCCGCCCAGAACGGGGAGATAAAGTACCAGGTGAAGTGCGGAAGGGCCAGTGGCCGTGGAGATCAGCACCATTTGGCAGACGGTGCCTCTGTAAAGTGGGCCCCAAGCCAAGCAGAAACCATAAGAGCATGGAACTAGGATGGAAGCCAGTGGCTTCTCTAGACCCTTTCATCTCAGGAGGCTGTGCTGGAAGACAAAGTCTAGATGAGAAGCAGCGGTCCGTGGGAGAGGCAGACAGGTAGGGAGGGAGGAACTGTGGTAACTCCTGCAGTTGCCAACCTTTCCAGACTGAGAGAAAACATATAACTTGAGCCTACAGTCTCTGGTCCCCACCTCTTACAGTACACCAATCAAAAATAGCGTCACAGAAGACGTCTATCAAATGTTTAGGGTTTGAGGTCTCACACTATTTTACTCAGACTGTCCTTCATCTCCTGGGCTCAAGCAACCTCTTGTCTCAACCTCTAAAGTAGCTGGGACTTTAGACATAGACTTTCCTGACTGGATTCTACCAGTACTGTTAAAGAAGCACATATACCATATTCATAGAAAAAGAAGGTAATATAGCAAATTAAGCATAGCACTGATATACAAATATTATACAAAGAACAAAAAAGTTTAGTAAAACTGTGATTATGCTTATGAATAATGGTACAGAGTTTAAAATGCTAGCTAATAAGATCCAAAAATATATTGGAAAAATAAATCTGTATAATCGAGAGAACTTTATCTTAACATTTGAAAGATAACTCATTATGAAGAAATGAATATAGATTATTGTCCTGTAGCATATGGACACAATTGGCTTCATAGTTGCTATTAAAGTCATTTGGTAAAATTTAACATCCAAATACATATATTTTTATTTTAAAAGAAAAAAATCTCAGAAAAACCAATAAACAAACAAACCCCAAATAAACCAACAAACAAGAAAAGCAAAACAACAACAAAAAACAATAGTGACATAGGTTTTTAAAACAAGATGATAGGGATTTAACAATGGATGTTTTGCATATTGTTATCATCAAAATAGTTGCTCAGGTTACCAGACACAGGAATAACACAAAATGATAAAACAGAACAAAGCACTAGATTTCAAAAACAAGACAGAAGGAAACCCCTCACAGTTGCTGTATGGCCTACCGGTATCCTCCAATTAGATGCTCAGACCACCAGCTTTAGGCCTGCAACGGCAATCAAATAATACAAGCATTAAGTTATGATTTTTACTTCAGTTGCTGTCATCTCAGCCTGAGTTCCTCCAAATCAATCGTTGCCTGGGGTGGGGTGGGGAGGACATTGCTGCTCTTGTCTCCCAGCCTGCATTCCAGCTCACAGGTCACGGGAAGGTGTGATTTGGCTTCTTGATTCTCTTCCCTTTCCCATAGCTGCTGCTGGCTCACATTAAGGCCTAACATTCATATTTGACTAGAGCTTTTTATTAAAAACAAAACAAAACAAAACAACCCACGTGTTAGTTGTCTTTCCACTGCTGACACACACAAGTTAAAGGGAAAGAC